ATATCATATTGATTGTAGAATGACACCTGTCATGAAGTTATTATAAATAGAGTTCATGTAATTAGGTTAAGTCAGATAGAGAAGAAGAGTAAAGATAGAGTATAGAGAAGAAGAGAAAGTGGAATAAAGATCCCGAGTAGCTCTACCGAGAGCGGTCGATCCCATAACAAAGGTATCAATACTCGGCTTGAATATAGAAGGGAGTATCTGTCGTTAATAGAATGTTATAAGATATTGTTTGTTTTGAATGGTTTAGATTTCCTACTTTGAGTATTGCAAAAAGTAATAGCACTAGAGCAAATCATCAGAAGTATAAGATCCAAGCGAAATCAGCAAGAGTCAACTGCTTTAAGAACTCTTTTTTAATTCTTTTTTAAATCTCCCCTCCGCGGGGGAAAAAAAGAGAAAACTCTACCATTCCCCCTGGGTTCCCGTGGGTCTGAATACAAAGGCGAAAAATGCGCACGGGGAAAAATGCGTGTCTGGTTTTCTTTCAAATCTGAGCAAGATCCTCTGGTTCAAAGACAAAATATCTACCAAAATCTCTACCAATTTTAACACCAACCAAAACTACTGAAATGAAATTTCGACTTTTTTCGTTGTTTATCACGCAGGTACTGCTGGTGACTCGCTCTCCTCCCATCGTGGTAAGGCCTTCACTACCAAAGATCGTGACTACGATTCCGATAAGAGTCGAAACTGTGCAGTGACCTTCAAAGGTGCCTGGTGGTACAAGACCTGCCATCACTCTAACCTCAACGGTCTGTACCACCACGGGAAACACAAGTCCCATGCTGATGGAGTCAACTGGTATCACTGGAAAGGATACAAGTACTCCGCTAAGAAAGCCGAGATGAAGATAAGACCAGTATAAAATGTGAACCAAATGCTTCTTGCCCTTGGCAGCGCCTAGCTATAGTCACACCAGTTAAGAACCGAGCTCTTTAGCTTAGAAAATTTAATTAAAATATTTGTTAATCATAAATGTAAAAGATCAAATTTATTACTATTTGTAGACTTTAAATACAATAGTTTAGATGAGTAATCTTGTAGAATTCAAAAAGTAAAATAAGACAAATAAAATACTGCAGCATGGAATTCGAATATGGCGGTTGATTGATTTAAGTAGATATGACGAAATATACATATATTGCCCTAGATGTTTTCCACTGTCATATCGGAAGGTAAGGAGAGATAACACCAAAGTCTCATTCATAAATAGGAATAAAACCTGAAATGGGAAAAAGAACTCCGCCCAAGCCGAACTTGATCGATCATTCGAATTTGGTCCATGACTAAGGGATTACAAACTCTTTTAAAGGTGAGGCCCATGTGTAATATGGTTTATAGTTAGAGCAATGTTTTTAGGCGATTTTACCCCGCGAGCAATTCAAAGCAAGGAAAAAAACTACATAGGACGGGGAACCATAAATGACAAATAATTTTTTTTATTTCGAAGCTTCCATCGCGTCTACCATTCCAAATATAACAAAAAATAGAGATTTAAAAAAAAAACTAATAGGAAAAGCGCAACAAGCATGATGAGGGGCAAACGTTCGGATACGAGTTCCCAGCGAGGTAATCCCCCAATGCTGGTCTACTGAAAAGAAAATCTTCCCACAAAGAGACCGACACATGTTCTTGGGAGAATCACTGGACATCTTAATAATGGAGTCGTCCTCGACACCCTATATTACCCACCTCGAATAATCTTGTACGAAAACATYGTTGTGTAAAACAAAACAGAAGCCGAAGTTCGTTCCCCCACCAGGCGATCTCGTTTTGACAGCCCATCAAAAACCAGCCAATCAGCGCGCAGAAAGTAATCTGATTAGGTGCTTTATCAAATCTGCTGTGGGAAAAACATGGCGGTCGCAGTGAGAGAAAATTTGAATCTTTGCTTTTCTAGCAACTACAACAATCCTGTGCGCGCGTTCCCCGAGATCACCTGGAAGCTTTAATAATAATTTATTTATTCATAATTTATCTTTTTTTGTAGTCAATTTTAATTTCTTTTAAAAATCAAAAATTCCAAATTCGCATTACAATATAAGTTTAAGAATGAATAATCTATACAAAAAATATAAATAAGAGACTATTAAAGTACATATTTTAACATAATAATTTATAGTTTGGGTTGAGATGAACAGCTCCAGGAGAGTCAAAAAGGTAAAAGCTCCTTTTTTCCGAATTTTTTCTTCAACATTTAAATATATCCCTTGTCATAATTGCATTATTCTTGTAACTTTTTAATAAAACGTTCAAGAATAATTTTAAAATGTAGTTTAAACTGAGTTCTGGAATTCGACTTGTAGCTTTGCACGCGACCCAAAACACAGCTGAAAAGACTTTCTAAAAGCTTTGAACCTTTMAAAATTCAATGGTCATATTGAACAAAAATGAAAAGTTCTTTAGTTTATGTAGAAAATAAGGTTGAAACTTCAATCTTAGGTCATTCAAAATAGGTTTGAAAGCTTGGAATGTTACCCGAAGTTGCCATATTTTGCAACGCGGAGTTTTCGCACCTTCTTCGAAAAATTTTTCAACTATTTTACAATAAATTAAAATACCGTGTTTTACCATTCGTTCAGCTGATAAAATTAGCGTAAAATACAAGCCTTTGTATGAAAAACCCCGAATTTAAACAACGCTAAAATTCTAATTCAACTTACCAAGTCGACGCGCCACAAAAACTGGAAAGAAAGGCATAGCACACGCGCGAGACGGCTTTATACATTTTGCTATCACGTGATATTGTTTCATGACAATCAAACTTTTATCCAATAGGAAGCGAGGTTTTAAATATTTGCAAGCGCCTGTCAAAAAGTGGTGAAATCTTCACGTGCCATTTTAAACATTACTATATATGGTTGAATATTTTCCATCGATGTCTTTTTGATCCTACAAATGTAATACTACTTGAATAGAGTGCACGCACTAAAACCGTGAACATTAAATAGTACTAATTAGTACTATTTCATACAGAATCCTTTGTTTTCTATTGTTTAATTATCACTATTTAGTGCTACAAGTTAATATTTTTTTCTCGGATTTAGTGTGAGCACTCTGCCAGGGTTGGCCTCTATTTTGCGTAGAATATATATTCATACGTTCCAAACTTCAGAGAAGGTCTGTCTAATTTTTTATAAAAGCAATTCAGGTATCACTGTAATTGTTGAAGTCTTCCATTCTTAAATTGGGACAGTGAAATGAAGCTATATTGTTTCTAGCGGCAGAAATTAAGAATTTGTACTTTAGTTTTGAACCAGTAGATCTTCGTTGCTTTCCCTTTAGCTTTTTCTGACATTTAGATATTTTTCTCCTTTTTCCTTCTTTCTTTCTTTCTTTTCTTCTCTTTTATTAGCCTTTGAATTATATAGTTTTCTGCTTTTTTCGTCCCTCCCYTCACCTACTTTCTTCCTTAGGTCTCTTTTTTGAAAAATTCTGATCTTTTTTATCCCAACTTTTCAATTGTAATAACAAAGACTAACGTTCCATAATAATTTCAAACGGTTCCAAAAGGATTTCGAATGTTTTCACTAATTTCCGATTTTTTTTCTCGGTGTCAATCTAGTCTACCTCGCTGTCTGATCATTACGGAACATCTTTGCGGTTCGTCTATTCATATAAGGTAATTATAATTCTAATAGAATCTTCAGGCAAATCTTAATTTCACCTTAGTAAAACAAAATAACTTTTTGACTTTTTTAGTTTTGCGGTTTACGTTACTCCGTCATCCGTTAGAGTCTAAAGTCGGTGCGTTATTTTTATAGTTTTCATTAAATATGATATCTCGAGAAAACATCTGGCGCAAATAACGGATAGCAATACGATCGCTTCAGTCTTTGAAAAGAAGGGAATAAAAAGAACAGAGATGTTATAATCCAGACAGATACTTTAAACCTTACATAATCTACTTTTTGACGTAGCTCATTATAATGAAAGTGGAGATCGCTAGGGTTTTTTTTGCGGTTTTTTTTTTTTTTTTTTACCGCTTTATAGCTAAGCCAGATGAACTTACTGACTTCACAAGAGTGATTTTGACTCAATACTAAGAAGCGACAAAAACACAATGTATTTTTGAAATCTGTTGAATAAAATCAGCTTTCATGCTTTTAAAAGTTTTTCAATATGACGTACGTACGTAAGACTGTGTTAGTGGATGTATGAACAGTCTAGCTCGGCATGCTGGAAATACAGAAAGGCATGTCTAAGCATGTAATGAAGTATACTCAATGGTTAATAGGTCTCGTTTTTTATGTTTTTTGGGGTTTTGAGCACACAGATCTATGGAGATCTGTCATCGCACTCCAGTCCTGTCACTGTGCAGACGTGTATTAGTTTTTCGATTGCCCAAATGGAGTCATTCACAACAACACACTATTTACTGAATCTGACTCATAAAATATTGTCAGAGATTTGCCTTTAGTCCTGGACGCTTTTTTTTTTTTTTTTTTTTTTTTTTTTTTTTTTTTTTTTTTTTTTTTTTTTTTTTTTTTTCTTTTTGCCTGATACAACGAGTACTACTAGTTAGACGGCTTGAATTAACCTCCTAAAGTATTTCTAGACGTTGAAAAGCATATCGCTTTCGTTTCCTGCACAGAGCTAAAAACGGGAAACAGGCAGTGACGCATCTTATTGCGTTTTTATCGATAAAACTCTTCTACTTTAATAATGAATTTAGAATTAATATTCAAGCCTTCTCTTCATAGTGGCTTTTGAGGCAGAGTTTTTCAACAAACCAAGTCCAAGAGGAGAGGAAATTAAAAAATATATTAAAAATCAAAGAAGAGGATTTTGAAGAATTGGACAAAGAACAAAACTCCAATAGGCTATGACCAGTACACCGGGTGCGCTGACCTTCGTCGACTATGGAATACTCAAATTTCTAAGTCGCCAGTTCTGACTCAGTACCGCTTCGCAGATGTGAACATAACAGCTATCCGACTCTCAACATACGTCCTACAAGCTCTGTTATTTTTTTAGTACGTACTTATTAACTCTCATCCAAAAGAACGACAATGTTCGCAAACCAGTCTGTAAATTCATCGGCGATTCACTTCGAGGAGCCGCGGGCACTCAGGATCTTTCGTTTAATTATCTTCAGTTTGGTCATCGTGGCATCACTTCTTGGCAACGCTGTCGTTCTCAAAGCTGTATTCGAGTTAACTCGCAAATCAGTTACGCACTATCTTGTTGCCAATCTGGCTGCTGCCGAAATCATCGTCTCGATTTTAAATCCCTTTATTGTGGCTTACTCTGAGTTCATGTATTGGCCTTTTGGTTCGTTCCTATGCCGTCTGATCAGTCCAATGCAGACATTCTCAATAGTCGTTATCACAAATACTTTAGCAGCTATTGCCCTACACAGATACAGGGTATTTTCTACTCATCATACGCGACGGAAATTGAGCTCTAAAGAGATTGGACTAGTACTTCTCATGATATGGGTAATCGCTCTGGCGATCGTCTTCCCGTCTTTCCTTTTTCAACGACTCACCCCAGCGAATCCAAAGCGCTTCCCTGGAAAGTTCTGGTGCATAGAAATTTTCCCTGATGGTCCAGAATTTCCCAGCCCAATGATGAGAAGGTTCTACATGGCTAGATTTTTGCTGAACTACGTCATTCCGGTCATCATTATGTCTGCGTCTTATGGGTTTGTAAGTGTGAAGCTAAGACATCATAGAAATCGCTCTATAAGAGATAATGAGATCACTAGGAATACCAGTGAGCAAGAGAACGACCCTACAACACAGCAACCGAATGTATCTTCACAACAGCCACAACAACAAAATGGCGCAGGTGAAAGCATTGAAATGGCCACGAAGGCTGCAGAAAACAAGAATTCATCCCGTAGTCGACCGGCTTACGGGGTGCGAGATAGGATGACTCGACGAAAGGACTTTGTGAGGCTTGAGCGTGACCTTTTGAAAATGTTTTATATAATTATTCTTGTGTTTCTCGTGTGTTATTTTCCTTACCAAGTTTTCTTTCTTCTGGAATATTTTGGGGTGATTCATTGGGAAACTTGGAAATACTTCACTGTGATTCGCAACTACGCTTTTTTGATTCCCTGTTTTTCGTCGGCACTCCATCCTCTCTGCTATGGAACAATGAGTAAGTTCTTCGCACGAGCCCTCTCTCGCCTTGTTTTGTGCAAAAACAGAGACTGAACTCCACAATGACCCTTAAGTATCTCATAAACAAATCCTAAGTACTCTCGAGGATTTCTTCGTTGTATGATATTATTATTATTATTGTTGTTATTGTCGTTGACACGGGTATATAATTATCGTTTACGGCATATGCGAAACTGATCAAGATTTAGATGAACTTTTAATCAAAAGAACATGCAGTAACACAGGATTATTATGATGAAATTATAAAGCCTTCATTCCAGTGTGATAACAACCAATATCGAGGTCAATATCTGTGACATTCTGATATCTTGAGATAAGACAGTTAAAAGGTAAATTGATACCAACCACTTCAAGTCTGTAAAACCCTGGGGGCTCTCTCATGTGAGAAGGCTTAAAACTAAAATGGTAGAGCGCAAATTGACAATGTGCGTAACATAATAATTTTTTTACAGGAAATTTTCGCAATACTTTAATTCGCGTTCCGAAAAAACTGATCGAAATTGGTGTCGCGAGTACGGCGCGCGGAATGGTTCAAAATTGTTCAATATTTGTTTGTCAATTGCGTTCCCTTGAATATAATGTGTACACTTCTCAGTGCATTGCATTAAATATAGAGCAGGCTTCATATGTTTTCTTTGTCAATCAATGCCTATAAAAATAGTCCGATTGCGAAACTTCGGTCGCGTGATTTACAAAAGCTCTGTCGATTCAGCAAAAAAAACTCGGTCAATCACAAAAACTCTGTCGATTCAGCAAAATCTCAGTGATCGCATACGCTACTGAATCTATAGCAAGTACGCCATGCCGTAACATTGAAATGACTTCACATTGTTTTCATGCGTATCATCTTTATCGTTTAGATACATGTACAAATACATGTTAATTGTAGATGATGGGCTTCGTAAATTCCAACTCTTGAGTGAAACGCGTTGTATGATGGGCGTACGTCATAAATTATATGTTAAACTGGCTGGTAACGAGAATGACGAGGCCACATGTATGGTGAGAAAATGCGGGCTTGGGCTTCCTGTGGATTTACTTTTTACTGACTATCGGACTTCACCAGGGGCGAAGCGAGGACCTAGGAGCTGGGGGAGGGGGGGCACCGACCCCCCAAAAAATTACTCCTCCCCCCATAAAACAAATAAACGAATAAACGCGCAAACAAAAAARAAACAAATTCGTATTCGTATAAACTGATTTATACARCGCACTTTCCTAGGTTGCAATGATTTTTTTCTCTTTCGTTTTGGTTTACTATGTTTTGTTTTTATTTTTTTGTTTTTTGTTATTTTCAAATAAATTGTTTAAAAATCTTGGGGGGGGGGGGGGGCACGTGCCCCCCGTGCCCCCTCCCCCCCTCGCTACGCTACAGGGCTTCACTACTCTTCGAGAATAAACAAATAAAAAAAATTTTACAAATACAAAAATTGGCAATTCCTAAAAGTAATTTTATTGGACTTTCAAGAACTAGTAACATGTTGGCCAATTTCTTCTATATTCTATTTCATCGATCCCATTTTCTTATCATATAAACACTTTTTTTATTTATTTTCTGTCTGCAATGCATTGTGGACGATATCCCAAATCCAAAATGGCGGTCACAACATGGAGTCGTGTTGGAACTTTTCTCCGTTCTGTCGCCCATTCTCAATCATTCGCCAGTACTCTCAGGCCCATATCAACATCAGTAGTAACCCAAACAACTAGTGATTCAAAAGGGTCGTTAATGAGTCGTTTTTTCGGGTCCCAAAAGATCGAAAGAGCCACTGATGCTCATTCAAAGACGCTGACAGAGAGGGAGACTTTGTATGAATTGGACAGTAAGACAGTCTTTATTTATAATTTATCTTATTTCATGACAAGTAACATAACACTCTATCATCTTTCTTGTTTCTAAAATCCATTGTTCAAATTATTCCTGAAGAAAATTCTTAGTAAATTATTTACAAAATATCATGCCATTCTCTTACAGTATTCACATTTTTTTTCGATGGAAAAATATTTTTCTCTTTCGTAAATTCTTACTCTTCTTTTTATGTATATGAATTTTTAATGTCAATTTTATTCCTATTTCTTTTCCAAAAGGGTTCATCTACTGCTTATAAGTTAAGCTTAATTATTTCATTAAAATGCAGTATGTATGTGATAAATTGTTGACTTGAAGATAATTTTCTATTTTGCAGTTCAGCACATCAAACCAGAATGTATTGAAGATTATATTGCATTAGTGTAAGTCAATATGAGTTTATAGCCATCATTAACATTTTCTTTTTAACTTGACAAAGATGATGATCTATGATGATGATGATGATGACCATAATTATACATGTTACAGGAATTAGGCCCAATTTATGAATATCGAGAAAAGTTGTCTTGGGAATCCAAAATAGCCCTCACTAGGGACAAGTCTACAGAGGGTTTACACAGAGATTCACTTCTAACCTCCTCGTAAACCAGAAGACAATGCAGAATTTCTTTCTTTCATCCAAACACCAAGAAGTGAGTTGAAAAAACGAGGCGTGGCTGAGTTTTTTTAACCAACTTCAAAGTGTTTGGATAGAGGATGAAACACACTTGAAAAAAATTCGCTTCCACACAGCTTATTCGAATTGTTTTAGACTGTCCATACGTATCCAATACGCATGCCAGATATCAAAGTCTTAGGTCAACAGAGCATGCGCACTTGAGCATGACCATGAGCCCTCGCTAAATATCTCATGCGGAAAAGACCTGATCAGACACTGTTACGTCAACTTATTCAAATTTGGATTTTTAGGAGTGAAACTCTTCCAAGAATCAGCAAAGACTCTAACTTTCCAGGCGCACTGGTTGGTAGTTGGACCACAATGTTTGGAAAACTAGATCAAGCCAGTAAGTATGAACCATGCTTTTAGCTATAGTTTACATGCTACTCATGATACTGTATTTAATACTCTAAGTCTTGTGTTTTTTATCTTAACAGTGAGTCTTCCAGACTGTGTGGATTTTCAGCTCTCCTATTTAATCAAAAATAAATAACTCAGACCAATGTTAATTTGGTACATGAAGATGAAATTAGCATTTATAATGAAAAAATGAATGGGAAAAAATCATCTCCACCCTCTTAAACTGTCATTCTGTTTCCTCTCCCCTCCCCACAAAAAATATATTCAGAATTTTGCTTCAATGGAATCACTTTTATGGCTACAAAATATTCTTTCCTCAACAGTTCATCTTTGGATGTTTACTGGTGGCTACTCATCGGTTGTAGAAGCAAAACAGTACATCAGAGAAAACCCGGTAATCCCCGTTTACACTGGTGATTTTTGCGGCCATTTTTGCTGCAATTTTTGTGGCAATTTTCGGAAATATCGAAATCTTTTGTCTCATCCTTCAAAAGATACATTTGTCTAGGAAAATCTTGGTATCCTGAAAAAAACTTTACAAGTAAATTCTTTACCATTATTTATTATGGACAAAATCGCAAAAAATCGCAGCAAAAATCGCTAGTGTAAACGGGGCTGTAAATTCATTTAGCAAATAATCATGAATAATTAATTTGACTCCGACGAAGGACTAGCATCTGAAACGTCAGTAATTTTTTCATCTTTTCACGGGGTAAAATTTACCCTTTTATCATTACTGTTTTATGAAGAATTAATGAGCAAAGAACAATAAAAATTGCAAAAAAAATTTGCAGATTTCTTAGCACTTTTTAGCAGCATTTGAAACTTTTTGAATTCATTTTTATAATTTTTTCCCCCCCAGGAATATCTGAAATTTGCCAGGGAAAGACGTCACATGATGTACAACCGTGAGAATCAGCTTTTACATGAATTCCACTTCTGGGGGGAGCCTGTGCAACGATCTGATCCACATATCTATGAGCTAAGAACCTATCATCTCAAGGTACACTATGACTTTCATGCTATGAACTCTTTAACTACTTTAGCTTCATTCTTATTTATAAAATATTTTAGATATTATACACACGCTGATTGGCTGGCTACCATGTTTATATCAGAGGACAGAGACACGCTCTCGCGAAATCATTCAAAAATATTTTATAAAAGCAATATAAAACGCACGCATGTCTATACAGTATACTGTGATATAAAAATGATGGGAGATGTACAGCAGATGGAATCTACCGAAATGCTCTCAAGAGGTAGCCTGTGTACAGCCACTTCCCACCCCTCCCCCCCTTCGGGGAAAAAACGGGGAGGGAAGGGGGAGGGGTGGGAAGCGGCTGTACACAGGCTATCAAGAGGAAGATATCAAAGAATGATATGATCTGAAAGGATCATTAAAATACCACTATAAAGAGCCCAATTAAGACTTGTTAAAGAGACATCAAAAAGAAATTCAAAAACTTTTTGAAGTGTTCATGGAGTGGCAAATAGCACAGTAATTTTGCTAAAAGTTGTTTGACAATGTTCTTTTGATTCGAGGATTTATAAATCATTCTAAACTAATTAATAACATTTGTTGTTTCTGTGCAGCCTGGAACATTAATTGAATGGGGAAACAACTGGTTAGTATCAAATTTTAGCATTTTATTGCCACAGAAATGTCAAAGGCACACAAAATAAGTTAGAACCCAGGGTCACGGGCAAGGATATAAAGGCTTTGACCCATTATGTGATCCATGGCAGCTATGACAAGAGGCAGGAATTTAGTTATCTGATTTGCTTGAGAAAGAAATCAGTTTTGCAGGGGAAAGACTATTGTTGTGCCTCCTGTCATGGCTGCCATCGTGTGAATCTGCAAAGCCTTTATTTTTCTGGTGATTTTGTTTCGTTCTTATTAGCCATGCCTTGACTTCGGCTCGCCTGTTTTTTCTCTTAAGGCTCACTAAAACTGATGTATGGTTTTTATGGGTGCCTGCATAGCAAGGTCTATGGAAATGCAGAACTTTTTTATTATCTTAATATTTAGAGCTTACATTTTATATTGATGTTAATACATGTATTGTGTGTCATTTTGTTCTCAGGGGTCGTGCTATCAAGCTGCGACAAGAGGATAATGAAGCAGTTGGTGGATTTTTCTCACAGATTGGTGAACTTTACTTGGTTCATCACATTTGGGGTGAGTATTCATGGTCACAAGTAGCAAAATAGAGTCAATTACAGCTGCACATGACTTATGATGATGGTGATACATGATGATCAGTGATGATGATGGTAATACATGATGATCAGTGATACAATACTGATGATGATACATGATGATCAGTAATGATGGTGGTGATACACGATGGTGACGATACATAATGGTGATGAGATAATATCACAAAAGAATATTCACAAAAGAATTAAATATTCTGAAATTAAAATAAACTTATTTTTAGCCTACAAAGATCTTGTGACAAGAAAGGAGATAAGAGAAAGTCTTTGGAATAACCCAGGATGGGATGACTGTGTTGCTAATACAGGTATTTAATATCTTTCTTTTTCAAACCTCACCGATGTTTGCATATTGGATTACTTCTTGTTTACCACTCTTTTCATGGCTACACACTGATTGAGACAACAGTCGCAACAAGGAAATAGGGCAATACATTGCCACTAATCAGAGAATGTAAAGGTACCGACCAATTTATTTGATTGACGGCCCAATTTCCTGTCGTGTCTGTTGTTTCAATCAGCCCGTAGCAATGAAAAGAGTTGTAACCTATTCCTCTGTTTTTCTAGTGCCCCTCATCAGAAAAATGGAGTCTAAAGTGATGGTACCTCTGCCGTTTTCACCCACCAAGTGAATTGGCTGATTCTTATCCACTCCTTGCACTTGTACATACCTACAGTCAGTAATTGATGTTCTCCAATACTAACTCTTTCTGTTGGTAATTTAAAAATACGTTTTATTTTCTGAAATAAAGGGTTAAAATTGTTTAGAAAATAAATAGTTGTACTAGTCAACAATAAACTTCAAGTCAAGAACATAAAAGACAAATAATTCAAATTCACAGCACAGTCTTGATGTTGATTTTTAACACTGTTTTCCTTGCTATGTGCTGATCGAGACAACAGTTTGCAACATGGAAATTGGGCAATAGACCCCTTAAAGAACAAAACAAAAGAATTTCAATCTCCTGAGAATTGGAAACCTTATTGTAATGTCCTCCAAATTGAGCTGTATTGCAAAATGCTGCAAGGAGTCTATACACTTCTGTCAATCAAATAATTCGTTAGAGTACATAAAGGTACGGCATATAAGGACCATAAGACGGTACATGGGAAATGGTACTGTACATTCCCCTCAAACATCTTCCTAGAGTCTTTACTTATTTGGTATTTTTCTTTAGTTTTATTTCTTTCTTTTTTAATGTTACAAMATTTATCTGATAAAATAAATGTAATAATTGTAGTAAATAAAAATGTCATTTTCTTCCAAAAAMATAAATTAACAGAAGGTTTTATACATTAATCAACATACTGTATTTGCAAGTATGTRCAGCTCTGTACAATATGTTTTCCGTATTATTGACAACTGAAACTTCACTTCAAATRTGGTGGTGATTGTGGACATTGTTAGTTGTGGGTGATCAACATCTGATCAACAAAACATCTTGAGTCCTGAACCTTTTTGTTATCAAGCAAAGTGATCTTCCTACTTGTAAAGTTACTGGAAACTCATTGGAAATCACTCTTTCCTGTTGTCCTATTTCCATACTCTTAGTCTTCTTTGGTAACCCTGAGTAAAGTAAAACATAGAAGTTTTCTTAAATATATTTTTTCCCCAGAATTTTAAAAGAAAATTTAATAAAAATTGGTACCAATGTGTCCCATAAGTCTGTCCAAAATGCACTTTGATGCTAAATATTAACTGTGTAGACCCAGTGTTTTTGTCAATCTTGGATTGGCTAATATTCAGCCCATCAATAAAATACTTTGCTTACCTTGAATGGCTTAATTTCAGATTTAATGCCCATATTTGTAGCTATTTCTTGTACAAACTCCATTTCCTTTTCTGTCAGAGTTGATGGAAGGACCATTTCTTTCATGTTTTCATCTTCCTTAAAATCACTAATAAGAGAAWAAAAAGTCCAATCATGAAAACGCCATTCAAATGCTTTTTCAAGGTTTATCCGTTGAATGGACCTCCAAGAATAAAAGCGTTTGTTTAACCACTGCATAACTATTAAAAAGCACTTAATGTGACGCTATAAATGGGAAAATCTATTGTTCCTGTCAACATTTCTGCAGGTAAGTAATTCCCATTCACCTGGGTGCAATGTTTTCCCATGTAAGACCATGTGTCATTCTCTTGAGTATCATTTCTTTGTTTAATGCTTGCACATGAGAAGACACACAAATATGRATATAACTTGAACAAAGAATCTCATTCACAAGGGAATGACRTGGTCTGAAATGGGACAAACATTGCACCAAGACAAATAAGGTCTATACAGGGAACTTTCTATTGGTCTGACTAGAGGTTCTTCCAACAAAGAAACTGGAAATTTCTTAACTTGCTATCATAGAGGTGTTTGCACCAGAATATGAGTACCCAGATTACAAACTGTTTTACCTAAGTTTCTTGGTCATCATCTGCTTAACATCCTCAGATATGTCATCCAGTTTTGTATCCTTGTCTTTATGCTCTGTCATGGATACATTAAAATTTTCTAATAAATACATTTTCTATAAGTAATATATAAAATTTACAGTAATAGAGTGCAAACAATATAACCGTGAAACTTTAGTAATACTAAATAGCACAATTTCATGCAAACTCCATTGTTTTCTATTGTTCAATCAAGCACTATTTTGTACTATTTAGTAATTAGCATTTCACGGATTAATTGTTTGCACTCTAATGACAATTCACAAGAGATATAAGCTTTAAGGGTTAGGGAGAATTCATGATTATGTCTAGGGGTGGGGTTGCTTGCAAGAATGAAAACTAATTTCATGAAATTATAATGTCCCCCCTTCTATCCAAAATAGAAATTTTTAGACTCCCCCCCCCCCCCCCCCCCCAGCATGTTTTTGTGTGCTTGTTAAAATATTCAAGTGACTTCACTCCATCTTTATAACTTTAACTAGCCCGGCCCCCCTTCTTTCTTTCTTTGTAAATTTTATGGTAGCCCCCCTTTTTACWAGCTCCCCAGACATAAATAATGAGTACAGTTGCTTTCATAGAGAGAGTTTGAACCTRTCTCTGTTAATACATGTGACAGTATATACCTTGGCTATTTGATGCAACACCTAGATAATCTTGCATAGCACTACGACATCGTTCCTTTTCCATAACCCTAAACTTCTCTACATTCCTACAAATAACAAATTTTATATGCTTGAGGGTTGATGTTAAGCCATGCATCCTAATGCACCYTGATAATGTTGAAGAAAGGATGGTAAGAGATATGGGGAAGAAGGAAGGAAATGCAAAAGAAAACAGGGGAAGAAAGGTTTGTAGGCAGAGAGAAAGATTAACGAAGGCAAAGCAATTAGTTTTCAAAGTCCTCTAATCTCTTGGTCATTAATTTTCATTCCTCTGCAGAGTGGGAAAAATAAATTATTAAATATTAAATACAATTCATATCTGCAGCATCGTGTTCTTAGTACCTGTCCAGTTCAATCATTCCAAGTTTGATGTCTTTATTATTTGGTTGACGTTGTAACGCTTTTACAAAGTATTCCCTTGCTCTATCAAACTCACTTTCCTTCATGTATGCCTACAGTTATGGACAAATAATAAACATACAGTGTAATAGCATGATCAACAGCTCTCAATGCTTTAATCAGTCAGTCAGTTAATCCATCCATTCATCAAGCAGTAAACTTAGTTTGCAGTATTAGTCCATGACTTTGTCAGTTGGAAACCAAGTCAGTCAGTCAGTCAGTGGGTGACTCTATCAATCATTTACTTGGACAGTTCCTTTGCCATTCAGCCAGTCAGTCCATTAGATAATCAAACCAAAGCTTAGTGAAGTAGTTGACAGTGCAAGTACTACTTACCTTCCCCATCCTGAAAAATGCCTTAACATTTTTAGGGTCATGRTAAAGTACCTTTAATTAATAAAACGAAATAGCTATTAAAAAGACAAAATACCAACAAATAAGRCAAAGAAATGTATAGAGGAGCAGATCCATACCAGAAGCAACAACAAGTGTAAGGAGGGATCATTTATTTTAAACTGGGGAGGGAGGCAAAGGATTTGACGGGAAGGGGGATGAAAAATAAGGTGTAAGGCCAGACAAAAATATAAGCGTGTTTCCTGTTGCATGAGAATAATAATTGGGGTCAGTAAGTCAGACTTTTTTTACTGGCACAACAGTGGAACTGAGCTTACTGGGAACCCTGTGGTGTATTTGGGAATGAAAAAAATATTAGGGTCGGCAAAAATCGGCAAGAAAATTAGGGTCGGTCACGCAACAGGAAACACACATTATTTGTTTGGCCTAAGGGTTGGACAATGCAAAAAGGAGGGTCATGCTGAGCTGAATGCTGACTACACTAACTCTTACCTTTCTTGCATACTTGATAGCTCTGGCTGATTGTCCCAGCTCTAGTGCACACTGTGACATGTTGCTGTACAGCTTTAACAATACTTGATTCATCTGGTTATCTTCTGTTTCATTCTGCAGTGAGCACTCTTCAAGGAGTTTAATGGCCTGTTTTTAATAATTAATAGATATTAATAMAGCAAAGTTGACACAATGTTCACACATGTACTGTAACTACCTGTAAACCTATACCCAAAAAATCAGGCAGCTCTTCACAACACAGTAAAGTACAGTGAACATTCTAGCGTATACAATACAATACAATGTGTTTTAATTATACCAGAGATTACAATAGAGAAAAATATAGATACAAGTACAGTATATTTACAAAAGAATAGTAGAGGTTACCTAGAATAACTATAAAGCTAARTGAGCTAGGTATAGTTTAGCACAGCATAACATAGGTACGACTGCAGGGCACAGCACTGCAGTAAAGCACATACCTTCATGTATTTCGTTACAGCTTGGTTTACTTGTTTTCTTTTATAAAGGTCATTACCAACCTATAAAAGAAAATGAATTCTTCAAAAGGTTAACAATTTTTTATTCATCTTCAATATATACTGTAAGTTGACCTCCATTAAGCAGTAGCCCAGATACTCCTTTATGGAGAAAATAGTTTCTCATTGTACCTTCTTGCCAACAATCTAGACAAAATTTACCAATAAGGAATGTTTTTACATCATGTATCATTCTACAGTAGAATGCAGGGCTGTCAACCCCCAAGATATTCAAATCTGGAGAATTGATAGGGAAGGGAGATGATGTCATTCACTTTGTAACATTTGATGTGATTGGTTTATTTCTGACCAATCAGATTATCGCTTATAGTTACAATGGCCTGCTTGCAATAACAGTTTATGAGGAATGTTTTGATTTTGTTAGCGATGTAAAATAACACAAACAACACAAAATCATCTTCAGTGATTATCCGGGAGATTTGAGACTCTAATATGGAGACCAGGAGATACGGTCCAAAATCTGGAGACTCCCAGTTTATCCAGGAGAGTTGACAGCCCTGAGAATSCTCTTTACTCAGGCCCAGGATTTTTTCTTCTTATGATTCCCCCTGGGGGTGGTGGTGAGGTGGATGTCCAATATTAATTTTCTGTAAGTGTTTCACTTACCTCTTTATGTCCATTAGCAATTGCCATCAAATGCTCAAAAGATGCTTTACGTTTGTCTCCAGACTAATATATATAAAACAAAAGAAAACATGTTTACTCATAGTTACTGTAGGTTCATTTTGTGCTGCAGTCATTGCTAACTCCTTGGATATAAAATTAATAAATATAAATAAATTATTATTAGGATTTACCTTTGGAAGATCACTAACTTCATCACTTGGTCCATGATCAACAAAACTGAGGAGTTCCACTTCCCACATTACTTAGGATTGAATTCAAATAGATAAGAAAATAAATGAACATTATTGTAGTAAAATTATAAAAATGAATGATTAACGAATGGATGAGAAAAAAAACAACTGGCAATGAAAAGACCTATGGATAAATTTACAGAAATTTAAAAAAAAATTATTTTATTATATTTCCTTATTTGATTATTTTTTATTTTTTCTTAGGGGTTTTTTGAGGGTTGGTTAATATATTTCATAGTTCATGGGTTAGGTGGGTTTGGTTGATACACCCTATTCTATTGAGTTATCACCTGCCTTTGGCAAATTGCTTAATTAAATAATAAATGAATAAATAAAAATAAAGTTACATATTATATTCATAAATGAATGAATGAAAATTAAGAATGAAGTAAAGGAATCATAAATGAATGGAATGTAGAGAAAACAGAAACACAGGGAWAATTCATAAAGAAAAAATAAATATTTCACATTCATGAGAGAAATGAAATCAGATATCACTGAATAAGATGTATCCRATAGAAAGGGAGGGATATTTGGAAAAAGAGAAGAATATTAACAAAGAAAAATGCAATAGATGAAATGGGAAAGGAAGGATGGAAGGAAGGAATGGGAGAGAAACAAACCAGGTAATTACATATCATTTTCTGCACAACTTGAAGTTGTGAAAGGCCCATTGGCCCTCTTTTTCAGTCGTTTCATACAAGGCTCGTGGTTTACCTAGTATTAAGCATTTTCTTATACATTTTYCGAGCCCATCCCACATGGCCATGGCCTACCACCTCATCTCTCAGGTATAATTATATATACTCACCAGTCCCAGGAGGTACTCTCGGTCCACATCCCATATCCTTAAACACATATTCTTTCTCAAACAGAAACCTTGCCATTTCTCCTTTTCTCATGCTAGATAGTCCAATGTCTATTCCTGGGAAAGCTCCTCCTA